CCTCTCCCGTTAGGGTTTCCCCGCCGCCGCCGCCGCCGCCCTAGCCCCCTCCCGCCACCGGCACGTGCGCCCCGGCCCGCCCCGCTCCCCTCTCCCCCCTCCTCCCCGTCCCGCCCCTGCGCCGTCTCCCCGGGAGGCGGACTGAGGCGGCGCGCGCCCCTTTCCCCCTCGTCCCTCACCCTCCTTCCTGCCCTCCCGCCGCCGCCGGCGGTCGCCCCCGGATCTGGCCGGGTGGTGTCGGTGGCGGCGGGTCTTCCAGTACCCGCGCATGCTCCTCCTGCCCGGGGCGATCTCCGGTGGATGCAGCGGTCGCGAGGCTTCTTCGTTTTTTGTCGATCCGCCGTTGTCGGCATTTGTTTCTCTTGTATTTTCTCTTTCATTTCTTTTGGGCGTGACTGTGCTGCTTCCGCCCCAGCACCTATCGTTGGTTGTCTCGGTTGGTTGCTTTGTATACAAAGCAGGGGGAAACCCTTTTTCGGTAAAGATAGATTTCAGTGTTCATCGTTATAGTAAGTTAGGTAAATGAGTAGTTCACATTATAACCGTCTGCGCTTAATCAACATTATTCACTAGGTGACATTCATTGTACAAAAAGTGCCCAGAATTTTTACAATACTGAGAGAGCATGATAATAAGACAACCATTTCAATACTAAAAGTGAAAGAACATAAACTCACTTATGTAATGATGACAAGCATGTTAATGGACCAGTGGAGTAATGTTAACTCAATATAAGGTTTCTTATTTCGCAATCGCAGGGTATTTGCGAAAAATGCAATTATACAGTCAACAACATGATCGAGTGATCATTGTGATACACAAGAATTACCTGGTTTAGCATAGCTATTTCTCATATTAGCCCATGCACCGACGTAGTTGGGCTTCAAATCTAGAGCCTGAAATAACAAGCAACAATTTGGGGTTACTTCCAGGCATTTTTTAGTATACCACAATCAACATCTAAAGTAATAAGCCAAAGACCTGGGGAACTCTTTAGTATACCCGTATTTTCTGTAATGAGCGCTAAGATGGTTTCGATCAGTCATCCACTTTATAGTTTATTTATACTAATAAAATAAGTGAAGGATGCAAATAAACATGTATTTGTAGGATCGGACACCAAATCAATGGGATTACACTGCATCAAATAATTTGATTATGATGCAAGAAGCACTTGGGATGTAGCATACATTCAGCAGGAAACACAATCTTGGTGTCAATCACACAGAAACTTATCCACATTCCACAGAGAGGGATTTAGCTGCCCCAATCCCAATGCTTGTGATATGCGACATTACTTTCCATACGCCAATCAGTGTATTAGTTGATCATTTCAAAAAAAAATTAGTTCCAACATGTATAGAGACACTATATTATAAAACTATTTTTGTCAGACAAGAATCATGCTGCTAGCTTTTGCAGTTTGCACCGCAAATACAACTGCCAGAGCATTCCTTAAAAAGGAATAACCAGAGTCTGTGATAGAGACAAAGTGCTATACTTCTTAAACCAAGCATATAAATATACTTAAAAAACAGAACGAAGCTTTCACCAAAGTTGAAGTTCAAGCACGTTCCAAAAAATAATTACCTGCTGGTATGCCAGTACGGCATCAGCATTCTGGATGCTGTTTGCTTGGGTCGCACTGAGCTTGTTCCAGAGAGAATAGTCTTGTGGTTTCAGCTGTAGTGCCGTCTTGAATGAAGCTATAGCTTTATCTTATTCTCTTGATAAGTTGTACAAGACACCCAGAACTATGTGGACATCAGCATCCTCAGGCGACATCTGAGCAGCTTCATTAAACAATCTAACAACATGGTGAGAGGTACGCATCAAAAAAAAATGGTGAGAGGTAGGTTGTTTAGTATCCTAAACTAATAAACTTTAGTAAGATCAGAAAACAGATTGTACAGACACATGATTACAGTTAATAATATCTCATAGAAAGGTACAATAAACTGAGACAGTTATACAGAATACCATTTGGAAGCTGGAGATGGAAAGGGTTTAACAAGTTAAAATTGTTTGTTTGATACACCATCATTATGAATTAGATATCCCTCACTTACATCTGGACCATATGGTGAATCAGTTTGGTGGGGAGGGGCGAGACCTCCGTACTTTGGATGATTCTGGAATCTGGAGCCACCTCGAAAGATATCTTAATGCTTTTCCTGTTCCAACTCTGCAGTGATCATATAAGATAAATAGTTCCTCTCATGATGGTATACACAAATATTGAAATATAACAACCGGAAGTAGGGCTATTTCGACAAATTTCCTGCTTTAACAGAAATTCAAAATATATTAGAACATGTTATGAGCACAACTATTGCAGCATTATTACACACTGGGGAGGAGGAGGATTGGAGCATTGGGAAGTTTTTCTAACTGTAAATGAAAATTGAAAAACCTGGAAGATGGCTTAGTTTTTACAATTGAAACTAGCTTGCACAATGCAGATACCTGTTACCTTCCAATCCTACCTTCTACCACTTCATTTCTTATAAGAGCAACTCCAGCAGATTAAGCAGGTCACTGAAATGCTCACATAAATAACACTCACCGTTTGTGTGACGACTGACACCAAGAGCAAGAAGAACTTCCAAGTTGGTAGGATTGGCCTCCTGGGCACGCAGCATTGCAGCAATGGCCTGAAAGCAAGGAAATAAATTAATAATAGCAGACTCTTTTAGCAAAGAAGAAGCATGGAGCCCATCCCGCATACCCCAAGATCCTTAGAACTAACATTCGTTATTTATTTTGTATATATGAATATCTAATTCTTGTGAGGTAAACTACATTAGAGAATGGTTCACATCATTAGTCACGAGAATTAGCATATTGCTTTGGCCTTTCAGACAAGATAAAACAATATTCCTTGAAAATGATCTAAACTCGGTAATGAACAAATATGATGCATCCAATACATCCATGCTGGACTACCATAGTGACAATAATCCGTTCAACATATGCCAAACATGTAGTATATAATACTTGGTATAGGGATGAAAAAGGAGCGGAATCTTTCCGTCTGGTCCGCAGAAAAACGGAAAAAAAAATGTGGAATTGGAAATCTTGGGCAACGGAATTTCTTAGGCAGAAAGGGAAACAAAAACGGTACAACATTTTTCGGCAGAGCAGACACGAAAATGAAATATCTGTTTCCATAAATACGGAAATTTCCGTTATTACCATGGCTGTGTGTGGCCCAATAATCGAGCAGGCAACAATGAACAAGCACACATGCAATGTGTGGGCCACCGGAATGTAAATACAACCTTAACCTAATCCTCTGTCCCTAATTGACAAAGGACAGAGCAGGCGAGCACGCTGCCGTGGGGCCATCCAATCATCCCGAGCCCACACGCTGCCACCCATCCATCCTTGCTGCGGTGCGATGGCAAGCAGAGCGCCTCCACCACCATCGTCTGTCGCGGGCTCACTGCCCTCCTCCGTTGACGTCGATGCCCTATGCCGATAGGGGTGGAAACGGATTGGATAGTGCCCTTCCCACTTCCGTTTTCATATTTCAAAAACAAAGATGAATGCTGAATACGAATACGGAGCGGATGTTACTCGAATATGGATACGGATCAGGTGTTTTCTCAATTCAGAACCGATGCAAATATCTTATAATTTAGTGCCATATTAGGTAAAAGAAATAAGTCAACAATTATGTGACCTAAGATGATCGACTCACACCATACGATAAATCAATGATAGACGATCGACTCGCACCATACGATAAATCAATGATAGACCAGTAGACGGAGAAACACTGTTGAAGTATATGGGGAATGCCCAACCTTCTCCATCAATTCGGACTTTTGGAGCAACTGGTTGGTGCATGAAGCATGGTATGCTATCAGAGACAGAGGTCTCGAGTTCGAGTCCTGGCTAGTGTGATTGTTTTCTACAATTGCTGCCCGCTCCCTTCCACATTTGAGGCACGCAGCAAGACAGAGAGACTGCACACGAGTGGGGGTGTTGAAGTATATGTGGAATGCCCAACCTTCTCCATCAGTTTGGACTTTTGGAGCAACTGGTTGGTGCGTGAAACCCAATACATACCACTATAATGCATAATAGTTTCTAAGTTGAATCATACAAAAAAAGTAAGATTTAACAACTTTTTAGGCCTTTAGAGCATCTCCAATACGTGCCCATAAGGCACCAAATTATGGTTGGAGCAAAACTTGCAACACCTAAAAGTGCTTTTTTACAACACCAAAAACCTCCTTCCGAGTGCTTTTTTACAACACCAAATTGTGCGGTCCCGAGTGGTCCCCCTGGTGTTGCAAAATTCGCAACACTTGGTGTGGGTGTTGTATATTTGGAGTAAAACTTTTGCATATATGGCACCTGTTGGAGCAGCGTTTTCCCCTCGTGATTAAAAAGTGATCCTGCACTATTTTAGGGCACCTATTGGAGATGCTCTTATGTTGGATACTCGCCCCCCGTTTCTTTTTTACTCTGCGTATAAAATTTGTCTGAAGTCAAACTACGTAAAGTTTGACCAAATTTATCTTAAAAATATCGACATTTACAATACAAAAGTTCTATAGTATGAAAATTAATTTCATGATGCATCTACCAATATTGATTTCATATTCTGAATATTGATATTTTTCTAATATAGTTGGTCAAACTTTACGAAGTTTGACTTCAAACAAATTTTATACGCAGACTAAAAAGAAATGGAGGGAATACTTAGCATATAGGGCTAGAATTGTTTAAATTGGCTAACTTTTTTTTCGGATACGGATATATCCAATTCCATATCCAAATTTTTCAAAATCCCATACAACATTTGTATTTGTAAAAAGAATCCAGATATTTCCAATACCCATTTTCATTTTAGTTCGGATGCCAATGTTGACTTGCAATATATGGTTTTCTTGAATATGACTATCGGATATTTCAAATTTTCCACCGCCACTTTCCACCCTTCTATGCCGGTAAACCTTTCTCACACCGATGCGCCACTCCTGCATAGTTTAAGGGTTCTTTTTCCTCCAGCGATAGTGTACACGTCCATACCGTATTCGCTCCATACCTCCTTCGGGTATCTGTATTTGTTTCTGCTCCCACTAAAAAATATGAAAACAAATGTGATATCACTCAATTCCAGCTGTTTCCGCTCCACTTTTATCCCTGACTCGGCATATGAACATCAGAACATCACTAAAATTAATGAGAGGCACAATTACCTGCTGGTCATCATCATTTTCGGCATGTGTTACTCCAAGCAACCTCGAACCTTCAGCATTATCAGGGTTCTTTAAAACTTCAGCCTCCAGAGGAAGAGCAGCTTCACTTAAGAGGCCCTTCCGAAAGAGTTCCTGCTCTTCCTGCATTGGATTAGGGTGACCAACATATGGGTTCATCTCAGAAGAAACATAAACCCCTCGAGAAGAGCCAGAACTTTTGGAAGCTGACAGTTGGTTCTGAAACCTACAAACAATGTACAATAATAGTTAATGATAAGCTGTAAACAGAACGTAACCAATCAATGGTAAAAACAAATGACTTCTCAATGAATATTAACCAAACCCTAAGTTCTTTCAGTAATCTGACAGAGAGATTGGTCAGATAACATATCAAGAAAGAAGCAACAGAGGTCGGCTCAACCTTAATACTATTAGCAAAGACAGAAAAACAAGAGACTTGTACTTACTCATCTGCCCATGGATCAGCAGAGCTCTCACCAAAAGCTCCTCCACTGAACTCCTCTGCCCAATCATCCACATTCAATTTGGAGAACTCATCGACCCACTTCTCTTTGAGCTCACCCTGATTCTGTTCACTAGAGAACTCACTAACCCAACTATCGGACCCTTGTGAAAGCTGTAGAACAAATATTAGTGAGGCAAAATCATCAGTGTCCAGCACATGTAAGTGTGAAAGAAGGGACATCGATGTACTATTCCTAAATAGCTACAACCCACTACCTATTTTTCCCACACATGCAAGCATGCCACATGAGCAAGTCCTGCATGCAAGTCATAAATTACATGTTTTTCACATTATTCTATGCATGCAGGGCTGCCACATCATCAATTTGTGCATGTTAGTTATAAGTTATCTTTTCATTAGATTTTGTATTGACAGTATACGTTTTGGGCGATTGCAGCATACCTACATATTTCATCCTTCACATTTTTTGTTAGAAATGATGTTCTGTTAACTGGAATCCACTTTTTATTCTCTTTTTATATGCTTCATGTTTTTTCACCTTTTTAAGATAACATTTGCTTTCCATTAGTTTTAGATGTTTTTTAAGCAACTATTTATGCATATTCTAACAAGATTCCTGTAGCAACATTTGGGGCATCATCTAGTGTTCCTAAATGATAATACCATTATTACACCACTGTTCCTTTTTTACATTGCCTGGAAAAACTAGAACCCCATTTGAGCATGGCATGCATTAATTTACACACATCCAGCTCTCAGGTGAAAACTAAACCCCATTTAGCACACCATACAATTATTTAAATGCATCCAGCTCTCTGGTATTACCTCTTCATGCACAAACTGATCTGCCCAAGAATTTGCATTAGCATTATCCTGTGTTTGAAATTCATCAGCCCAGTCACTGGATTGAGATGCTGAACCTTGTTTTACTTGGTTATCTTCTATAATAAGTTCACCACGGCTCATCTTTGAAACAAAAGGAAAAAGAAAGTGTCATCAGGTGCTTAAGGTTGCAAACTTAAGTGACAAATTCTAAGGATGAAGCACTAGTAGAGATGATCCTATAGTATAATATAAGGTTGCAAAAAATACAGTTGATTAACTTAATGTAAATAAACAATATTATTATTGGTGAAAGATACAGACTTAAGAAAGAGTTCTCATGATCCAATATCTACAAAATTTGAGTTTGAACCATGAAATGTAATAGGCGGTATCCGTAGAATATCTAGCAGAACATATATAATAAATAAATAGGATTTCATATCACCCCAATTGCCACTAAAAAAAGTGTTTTTGACATAAACAGAAACATTGGACACGTGTGCGGTATAACACGATATATCAATAGTGTGTCGTACACCAAATACAAAACTTATTCACAATATATGTTTGTTCATTTCTGCATATCCAATAGAGGTTCTTCTCTATCAGTTTGGAAAGCAAGATCCTATTTAGGAGGTTTGGTCTGACTTTTGGAGGATTCATTGAGATACTTTAGGCATGTTGGACCTAATCTAGAACATTTAGGTTTAGCCTAACATATCAAGATGCAAATGCAATCACATCAATACATGAGTAGGATATTTCCTTATGAAGAAGAAAAATAAATTATGATGAGCTGTTGTTCAAGCAAATTTTCACTGTGGGTAAAAACAATGTGCAAGCAAAATAGAGTTACATGTACAACCAGGCCATTATAAATACCTGGAATTTTGGGTCATTGTTACTTGATAATGTTTCCGCAAGCATACGGGATTGCTGCATAGCTGCGAGATTCACCATGTTCGCTCCTCCCATCTGACCCATGGCCATCTGAGACTGATGCTGATACAGCATAAAGTACATAGCATAATTTAAGCCATGTATCGCACAAATGAACATGCTAGTGCAGAAGGAAACCAAATTATGATGAGTATGCAGATTTCCATACAAATTACAAGGCTTTGTTTTTTTTTTCACTTTATAAGCCAACTAAAACTAGTTAATATTTAACAGATATATTGAAAGAATGTGATCCTTTGTCACCTCATGTTCTAGAATAACTACATTTAGTAAAAGTAAGAATTCTATGTTTACATAAGACTGTCTAAAATAAACACACATACATATATAAAGAATATCTTAAACTTTATTTCTAAATACAGCATACAATTACTCATAGCTACCATAATATCTCGATCAATGGGTAGGGTAGTGAAACTATCAGATTACAGCTGGGTAATGGCATACCAAACCCACATATCCTTTTCTCAAACAAACTTTCTTATTGGATTGTGTTTCCTGTTGGATATTGGCAAAATGGCAATTTACTCACAAAAATGGAAAACATAATTTTCTAATGTTTACGAGAAAATTCCAGTAGAAACAGAACAAACTCAAGAATACTACAGCGCATGGTGCAGATACAAATGAAATCCAGAATTGCATTTGGATACATAGATAGCCAGATATCATCATTTATTTGGCAATCAGATTATCCAGATAAAACGGTATCAATTGCAACATAGTTATACTGGCCTAGAAGCTAAACAGTATCTTCAGCATGGCTGAACTTGGTTCTAGGATGTGTTGTCTGCTCATATGATTAGTATAAACAATGAAAAAACATGCTTCACAATTGATGGTTGTGAAAACGTCAAACATGCTTTTAGAAGGCTCTGACCTGTTCAAACTCAGAGGCCCATCCATTGGGACCATATTGCTGCACAAAAGAGTGCGCCCAACCCTCAGGGTTATTATTTTGCTTGCCAAACTCAGTGATCCAACCCTCAGGGTTATTATTTTGCTTGCCAAACTCAGTAATCCAATTATTTGCAGCATTGTGCATTGGGCCAGATCTCAAAGCACTTTGGGATTGATTCCAGTACTCCTCCATCTCTGGGTACGGCCCATGCAGGGGATTTTTCATTCGATCACTATTGTCAATATCAAGAGAATGCAGCAATGTATTTACCTGATATACGGATAAAAGTGTTACATTCAAGAATGTTCATCTAGTAAACATTCATCAACGAAACATAGGCAGCACATGGAACTTAGAATGTCAAGCAAGTCAACAGGAAACTACTGAGCTAAGCTAATGGAGAAAGGACAGAAATAAGTGTTGTGAGCAAATTTGTATGATCCATGGCTATTCCAGTCACAAATGTAAGAAAAGTTAACCTGTGCTTGTATATATTCTTCAGGTTGATCGGCCAAAATATGGTGTGCCATTATGAAGCTGCGATCACGTATACATTGCTTGTCGGATTCGGACAAACCAAGAGCTGGTACTGGGACAGCTTGAAATGGCACACCAGCTCGGCCACTTAGAATAAAAGAATGCAGAACACCAGATAAGACCCTTTGTGGTGGACCTGGAACAGAAGTTAGGAGTCATTGCAATGTCTGGTTAATAGACAACCATTCACAGTAGACAGAAATGCTAAGACACAGAAATCTACCATCCAAGGCCGGTCCCAAGGTAGGGCCTGCATTGTTATAAATTTGCTCAAACTCTGCAAAGTTTGCTTCTGGCCCTCCAAATGCAGAATGCCCCGGAGGGCGAAAAGATTCAACCCAATCATTAGCAGGACCCCCACGACTGAAGTCGGCACCCTGCAAGTGTTCAACAACAGTTAGGAATGGCCAAACGGGACACAAAAAGAAAGTTTTGGAGAATCACCATTACCCATGCAAATGGTCGTTGATCTTGCTTGAACTCATTCTCAGAGCCAGGGAGAGTAGACAGTGGAGCTCCGCTATAATCAGACGTAGTTGGAACATTAACTGAGGCTCCAGGAAGTCCCCTTAGTGACTGCACAAAAGAAAATGTTATAACCAATATTTTCTTGGACTTCAGCTACAATTTTTCAATGCATTTTGATGTTAAATATCCCACATTTCCAATTTAATCCACACAAATTCTTATAAATGAACATGGAAACTGGTAGGAGATAAAAAAAATATTTATTCACATATACCTAATGACTGGTATGTTCAGAATAAGGTCAATCAGAGATTCTCAGATAAGTTAATTCACAGAGCACTTGAACTTAAACCGGTGAAATGAGTGTGCTAAATGTTAGAATCCTAGCACGATGAGCTCTTTTAACCCTTTACTCTCTTTTTTAAAACAAGATAACAGCATAGGAATAGAGAAGCCTACCGATACTATAGCGAACTTGGTAGCTTGTACTTTACAAAGCACTGACTCAAGTATCTCGCCCAGCACTTCCGAGCATGGTTCCAGAGTAAGGTAAAAGGGAACAGACACTGAACCTTGAACCAATAATAGCTCTGGCCCGTCTAGTCAGTCTAAATCAATACACCAAGCAATTGGAGACATGCGACAGTACAACCCACGAATCAACCATATTCTTCAGCGCATCTAGACCGCGCGGGATACAGCACTGGCTTCGCGTAACGGAAGCGGCATATGAGCACAGAAGATCTAAAGGGCGCCTATTGATCCAGGCCACCGCAGATGCAGAGGGCAAGCCCTTAAGCTCGAGAGTCCTGACCGACGGGGCGACGGACTTAGGGTTTACCTCCGCTTTGTTGGACTGGCCGAGGAGGGTGTTGGCGAGGGCGCCGAATGGGTTGGAGGAGGACGCCCCGTCCGGGGCGCAGTTGTTCTGGCCGGTGATGAGGTGGCGCGTCCCCATGTCCGCAGAAGGCCCCCGCGGGCGCCGGAAGGACGCGCTGGCGCTGCTCCGATCGCCGGCGGCGAGAGGCGTTCAGCGGGAGGAGATGGGGAGTGAGGAGGAGGAGTCGCGTTGCGTGCGTCCCGGTGGCCTGGCGGGCCCTTTAGGGCGGATTTACAGTGCACGCAAAAAAACCAGCCCCGCCAGATACCGAATAAACCGCCCGGCCTGGCCCAGCCCGGCCCGGCCCAGCCTGTAAAATTTAGAGCGGCCCGTAAACCGCCCTCGATTCCCTCATATATACCGGGGCGACCGGCGTTTAGGGTTCACGTCTTCTTTTACCCCTTTCCCCTTCCGCCGCATTTCTTTACCTCCGGCGGTAAATCCTCATTCCGCCTGTCGTGATTAACCGTGCACGCGGGCAACCAAAGCTCGCCCCGATGTCAAGCTCCGGTTGCGAGAGGGGTGGCCAAGGGGGCCATGGCGGCTCGCCGCCGCGCAAGCGCCGCAACAACGACGAGGCCGGGAGCTCCTCCCTCAGCCCGCCGGTGAAGGAGTCGCGCAAGGAGCAGCCGTGGAAGCGTGGCGCGCTGTCCCGCAGCTTCGCCGGGCGGGCGCGGAGCAACTTCGATCGCCTCAACTGGATCTTCTCGCCTGCGCACAAGCGACTCCGGGCGGCGGAGCGCGCGTTGGTCGACGCGAAGAAGGCGGCCGTCGCCGAAGACGAAGCGGCATTGAAGGAGGAGTATGACCTGGCCCTGGCGTCCGTCCTCTCCAACTCGTCGATGGAGTACCATCTCGACGTCAAGAAGTCTGGTGATGATGATTGTGCGGAGATTTAGGTCTTTATTATGTTTAGCTAGTATGAACGAACTCCGACAATGTAATGTCTGGCGCGAACTGCTAGTTTAAATTATGTCGTATGTGTTATCGGATCTGTTCTTTCTCGCCGTCCGCGGTACTGTAATGCTAAAGATTCTCTAAGCTCTTGTGGACCCGATAAGGCCAGGACACGTGAGAGAATTATTTTCTGTGAGCGTATGGATGGTTGGAACTTTTTTTTTGTTCACACATGAGAAAACGCAGGGAACAATGTTTTTTTCCTTTTAAAAAATTCCAAATTTCAGGTTGGTTGAAGACTTGAAGTCTTTCCTATTCTAGTCCAAAGGTTCTTTCTTTTTTTCATTCATGAAGACAGGAAATGTTTTTCTTCTCTTTACAAAAAATCAAATTTCAAGTTGGTTGAAGACTTCCTATTTTTAGTCCAGAAAAGAGGGTCTTCCTATTTTTCTTTCGCATTGCAGTGTGAAAGCACTGGAATTCCCTCGAGTGCACTTATCAGCGAAGTGCTTAGGATTTTCTTTGTACAAAATGCGCCATGTGAGGTTGAACTATCGACGTTAGAGGTCAGCGCAGAAGGGCTCGAACCGGATGTGCAAGAGGTTGTCGACGGAGCAGTGGGCCATGGTGGAGAAGGACGACCTCACTGTACAAGTCAATGGCGCCGGCACTATGGAGAAGGAGGAGATCATGACCGCAAGAGCAGATCAGGGGAAAATAAGGGAAAATTCACAGCCTATGTGGCAATGTACAATCATCACTAAAATGGGAAAATGAATGGGGTGATTTGTGCCACAAATTTGCTTAATTTGCGTTAAAATGTGGGAAAAACTGTTAAATGGGTTAATTTCTATCACAAACATGAAACTAGAGGTAAAAATAAAATTCACTCTTTTCTACTATGTTAAAATATCTACGGCGGACCCCTAAAACGGACATGATATTTGTCCGTAGACCGATCCGGATGGTTTCAGAACATGGGGATAGGAGTCAGTTATCCAACTTATATCTCAAATGTCCGTTTCTATTAACTTAATAGGAAAAAGAAAATAGTTTAGCAACTTTCCACCGTGGCTAGCAACCTTCTGCCAAAGCACTTGGCAACCTTCAACCAAAGCACTAAACCATCTGCCATTGAAGCACAAAAAGTTTTAGCAACCTTCCGCCAAAGCTAGTAATATTTGGCTAGCAACCACCTTGAAGCATTTGAAGCTTCAAATAGTTTAGCACCTACCGCCAAAGTTAGTGCTGGTGACCGTGTGCTTAATGACTTCCGTTAAACATGCTCACAACCGGCAGCAGCATTTGGCCAAACGCAAACTAATCATCTTCCGGACAAAGAGGAGAGAGAGGTGCGGGGTGGCTTTTGATTGGCCAAGCCGATGTCCAGACTCCCGCAAAGCCTTCCTTATTTGCTTCTGGTTTGCGGGATTTCGAACAGATGGACCGGTTCGCGGGTAGACGCGTGACGATGTTGGATGGCAAAGTGCGTATGGAAAGCTCAGTTCAGACATTTGCGAACGATCTGGGAGTCCGATTTGGAGATGCTCTAAAGCCGTTCTCACTTTCAACATGAAACATGGCTTGTCAATATAGTATTTTTAGTCTTTTATACCTTCACCATAGCTACAAAATCTTGCATGGCAAACATCTCCTCCCATGTAAGAGCATCTACAGTTGGGCGCCTCAAAGCCCCCTCAAACGATCGGACGAACGGCCCGGTCACTGGACGGTAAAAAAACCCGATCCGGATGGGCGCCACAAACGCCTGGGCTGACCGGCAACCCTCGTACCCAGCTCAAATCTGGGGCAGATATGGGGAAGCCCAGGCGCGTCCGCCACATCGAACTAACATGAGCCCCGCAAGAAAACACTTCGAGATCCCGACGATCCGGAGCTCGTCTTCTTTGACGGACCAATGATGTCGCTTGTTAGCGCTCTGGCGCGCCGCGCAAGGCCCCTAGCCCGGCTATTTAAGGCGGACGCCGGCACCGAAACCCTACCTATCCACATTTCCTCTCCTCCCTTTTACCGCTTCTACTTTCCAATCGCCGTCCACGTCCACATTTCACTGCCCCTCCGCCACCACAATCAAGTGTCCATGCCACACACTGACGAGTTAGGAGCTACCCTTATCTAATGCCGAAGCTCCGACCACAACCCCATGAGCAGATCCAGGCAACACGCGAAGCCCGAACCGCTGTGTGGCTACCTCCGGACACGGTGGATCCGAAGAAGGAGGAGGAGGATGAGGATGACGTAGAGTAGGAGGAGGACGCGGGCGACGCCCGATCTATTTGCGGAGCAACATGCAATCCTCGATTCCCTTCAGTCGGAGGCGAAGGCGAAGGCCAACCGCCGTATCCACCAGGCGGAGCAGGAACCGGAGCCCTTCTACGCGCCCATAACTCGGCGCCCGACACGGAGATTGTGGCATCTCCGATGACGAAGCATAGTTAGGCTAGTGTGATTTGCATAGTACATAGGATTTATTGTGCGTGCTTTGTATGGATCTAAAGGATGAAATATGAGGTACTCAGATGCAGGGGAGAAAGTATGAGGTGTGACCGATTACTGCGTGCGGACGCGTCCGGTCGCGCCCACGAGTGTTGAGGGGTCAGATTTGGTGTCACGGTTGTAGATGCTCAAACCTCCAAACCGTTCTAGAGCTTTTTCTCCATGTATGCATTCCTATATACAACAAAAGAATAAAAGAGAGGAGAGTACTGCTATAGATTGCTCGTTCTATGCTTCTATTCCTGGCTCTCCTCTCTAGATATCCATGCATACCGCAAGAATGCGGACGTTGTCCTGCCAAGAATGCAACTAAATGCACACCAAGAGGTCGCTTCGTTTTCTTGCATGATGCATTGTTTTCCTCTTAATATATTATACTCCCTCCGTCTAGGTATACAAGTCACCTTATGAAAAACAAATAATCCCAAAACACTTAGGCACGGTACATTAACTCCCTTCTCGTTTCTTGTTTTGTAACATATCAACCAATAAGAGATGTGGGCTGTGCATGCTTTTAATGACTTGAGACTTCTAAACATGACATGCATTGGTTAGTTCATTGCATGCGATGCTATTAATTAGCAAAAAGACATTAAGTTTTCTCGTTTTCCTCTCCGCCTTGGTCGTGGTGCACAACGTAAGATGACTTACACACCTAGACGGAGGGAGTAGAAGTGTATGCTCTGGTCAATACAACCCAAATACCGATCTGATGAAAAAGACTAGGCAATACATTTATACGTCAACATATATAAAACAAAGCTGCATAAATTTCGAGTGTATTATTTTTGTTTTGTGGCGCGATGAAGATGTATTCTAGAGGACCAGCGAAGTGTTTCCAATGTGCCATTAAATTTCTTTCAAGGAAACAATTTTTTTTCTCTAGCAGAATTATTTATCACTGAAACTACATTGGTTTAAAACAAAAGCAACTATTCCTTCCAAAAAAACTATAATATGATGCTTCGTTGTGATGATGGTCGTGCTTCTTTCTCATTGTGAGCATCGTCACGTGGTGAGTGACATCAATAAGAAGTTGCATGGACGGAGCCAGGCTGTAACAACGATGCGCCATTAGCCAAGGTCCTCGTTGACAACAAAGTAGATCAGCTGAAGATGCGAGGCATGGTTTCATGGAGCCAGATCCGTGAGCTCCCGTTGCTTGATGATCCTCCCTGATGCATGTTGAGCATACATGTTAAGATTGCATCACGTCCATCTACTAAGGGGACGACATCCCGACGTGGCGGATCATGGAGTATACCCTTTTGTGACTTGTAACTAATAGATTTTATTGACCAAATCAGTGGTCAATTATTTTGATGAAACACATGCGAGACTTATAAGATGTGTATATCTATGTGATATATAATTTATGCAGCTCACTAGTAGGAACCGCCTAAACAACTCAAGTATTCCAATCGGTTCTTCAACCGAATAGTCTAAACCCCCGAGATAGATGTTATTGGAGACTGTGTAGAAACCGGCCATGGTATTATGAGTATTAGCGACCGTTGGCTAGATATGGTAAGTGAGACCGCCCAGAAGCTGTGTAGCAAACCGCCTCTAAAGTCGTGTTCTCTCTACTAGTGCTTCATCCTTAGAATTTGTCACTTATGTTTGCATGATTGCTTAATGTACAAATAAAGGCAAAGTATAATAATATAATGTTGTATAATAGGATGAGGAAAATAGAATAGGATTAACTATGATGAGTTTGTCTTTAGCCATGGAGTGCAAGCACAAAGAAAAAAAAATATGTCAATCAGGTACTCCTTCCGTTTCAATAGACTTGGCCAAACTTAAAAATGTTTGACTTAGGGCGTATCTATAACTTCAAGAATTTTGGAAGAGAGGGAATAGGAAAGGAAAACCAAAGTTATGATATATGATTCATATGAATGTGTTGAAATAGACTTCTCCCAATCTCTTCTCAAAGATTGCAGTGTCACTTCTTGCATATCACGGTGGCGAAATAATTACAGCCTGTTGATTCAGTTTGTCAATGACTTCATCGAGAATATCACACACGACAAGTGGGTGGTTCTTCTTCAATTGCTCAAATCCCTCGGTTCTTTTTATGTCTCGCAGCCTCTCAAAGTCTCTTGCCATATACTTGAGACAGCAACCCTTGAGCCGTTGACAATTGTACCGCTCAGCCAGATCCAAAGTGAAGCCCACCGTCTTGACATCCAGCTCCTTGCCCGGCTTGCTCTCGCAGATCAGTTTCAGTCTTTCTACCGCATATCGATCAGCTGCGACGAGCAAATGCTGCGCCATGTTTGTCGCCTCTTCCGTGGTCTCCTCCATGAATGCCGGCAGGGAGTCCTTGTACATGTAGTGCAGCAGGGCCTCGAAAACCTTATCATCCATACCCTCGATGCAGATGCTGCTCTGCCTGCTTTCCATCATGGAGCCGCATAGTTGTGCGCGGAAGACCGGTGACCGCGCACTCAACACGCACGCATGCACCTTGAAACTCTTTAGAAGATCGCCGAGATCTATGCTCAAGTTGGAGGGCGGCACGGTGATGTTACCGTTATCTTCGTCCTCACAGACGACTTTGTAGACTTCAACGGTGCACTTGATCACCAGGCAGTCATCCTTGAGGCACCCAGACGCGGCCAAATCGGCTTTGCTCACAAAGCTGCTGGCGCCCAAACCCTTACCGCCGAACAAGAACTTACATAAATCTGTTGGTCGATGGCGATTCAGGATCCTGGAGGCAGAAGGAGTAGGACGCCCTGACCTCACCCTCGTCGGGGCTCATCAGCTTGAGGTACACAGACGTGAACCGCTCATCAACCCTCGAGGCGCGGCCCTTTGGGTAGTATAGACGATAGCCCAGTCGTGGCAGCCGGCGCGGAAAGTCTCGGACGTGAGGATGGTGTTGCTTCCTGTGACCCCGGCCCGGGAGTGGCCGACGACCTTGAACAGATGCTCGCCGGTGTGGACGACCACCGTTGACGAGGTCTTGCTGGTTATCGTGGTGGCCTCCGCCGCCGATGCCGGCATGATCGAGAGCTTCCCAGAAAAAGAAATCGAGAAGGATATCGGTCTCCACTTTTTTGTGTAGGGAATCGATCTCCGTATGTCGATCTCCACATTTTTCTTTTGTACTTATATTGTAGGGAATCGATATCCATAGATCTTGGAGGTTTTGTACTAGGCCTGGGATACAAGTACAACAGCCCAACACGGCCGAGGTAGGTCCCAGGCAGAAAGGGCCCAGTCAGCGTGTCGACCTAGCCACGCACGTACGGACTCATCATCTCGCATCGCACGACGCACGGAGCTACTTATTTATACTCTTTTCTTAATTTTCTCACGTAATTTTAGTTTGTGTAAGCATATGTATGATTAAATATGTGGAAAACTGCTACAACCACTAACCACACCGGAACTTATTATGCGTCAATCTAGATCAGTGTATGCAAAAGAAAATTGAATTGAAATTAAAACTGAAGACAAAAGATCTTTTTCAACGGTTTTCTGTAGTTATGGGAGGCACAAATAAAGCAAGCAATTGATTTGGTACTTTTTATATCCACGTACTATTCTTTGTACTTTGATATATTTATTTATTTTGCCAGATCGTTAAGCATTGAGTTAAAATTCTTGATTTATTGAGCAATTAATTTTCTTTTGCGGGAATTAAACTTTGTTTTACCCTGCGGAAAAATTTAAACTCTGTTTTGTATGTTTTTGTATGGGGTATATTTTTTGAAATGTTATGATGTATTTCTTGGATAGTTATAGTGCTAAAGTTTTTTCATTTTGCTGAGAAAAAATTGGTCCAGGGTTTGCTTAAATCTTGACTCCGCCACTGCATATATGCATTGTTGGGTTATCAAGGTACATGCATGTAGAAACAACCAGCCTCTTGTTCGTCGTCTCGGTCGCCAGCGAGCTAGCCATCCTCTCCAACTTGTCCAGCTTGCCGTCCTGGTGGCATTTCCGGTCTCCAGATTATGCATACTGGACACATGGATTTCGCATCTTCATCTTGGGTCAGCCTGATTTACCCAATGGGTCAGCGAGGCCATAATTTTTTTATGAAATCGGCGGACCCATGGCCTCACATAGCCACGAGGCCAGGTCTGGGTCGGCCCATTCCCATCTTGGCGCACGCCCACAGGATCACTTCAACATCATCCGTGCATGGTAAATTCCAGGACAACACCGTTATTGTCTTGCGCTATACCACGAGTGAACTAGGACGAACTGATGTCTACTTTGAATGCTCGTGTAATCGCTACACATTACAAATTTTGAGCGAAAAACTAATTAGTTGTTCATATGTTGTAATGAGAACATAAATATTGTAGTGGTTCAATAACAAGCATGTCAAATATACCTTTAGAATCCTTGTACACATCAAACATCATTGTCGACCCTTTTTTATTGTTATAAATCACTCTTCTTTTTCTTGCTCCTCCCTCCTCCACCCCTATATTTGCCTCCCCAATCGAAGCTCGGCAGCACCATCAATGGCACATCCAGCTCACAATCCCCTAGCCAACCGGCACCCACACTTCGAATTTGAAAGACATAACAATGCAGTTTTGTTAGAACCTCTATGGTACTCATGCTTCCCAGGATCTCTACCATACCGCACATCTTTTGTAAGAACGACCAAAAACATCAAACAGATCATCCATACAGCCACAACAACTACTGTGAAAGTAAACCAAATTTCATTATGCTTTCTGGTAATCATTCCATCAGTGGCATTGCTAGGCCCTCCTCGAGGAAGCTACTTGCTTCTCCAATTTCAGAAAAACAATACAGTGAGCAAATGGCATGCTCTCTATTTCACATAATGTCATGCCGAAATGCAACAATATGATCTAATAACTCAATCAAGCAGGTAGCCATGCCCTGCGTCCATCATCGATTGACCACTCCCTCACATAGTTGTTTCACTTGGAGATACCACCAATTGTTGATGCACTGTTCCATTACCTTCTTTCCACCAAGAAATAAGCATATCCATATTAGCAACAGCCTAAATCAAAGTTATGGACTCTTAGCTAAATGTACCATCGACTTGTGATGGATCCAATGGTTGTATTGGAAAAGTTGAAATTAAAGAAACTTCTCTCTCTCTTATAAAGTGTTAGGATTAATTGTAATTAACATACACCATTGCCATTATCATCACCCCAAGCTGTTCAAGATGTGCTTCTGAAGAGCACGATAAAGTGAAATATTAGCATATGCAGTAAAGTATTATTTGCCCTATGCATTGCTGACATTGCTTCTAAAGAGCATAATAAAGCTCAGATACGAAACCAACATAAACCAGTTTATGACTGGAATGCATATATTGGCCATAAAATTTCAATACCTATTAACAATTTTGAGGCGAGGAAAGCAACCAGGTATTGAAATATAGCAATTGTCATTATTCTACTGGCAACCAGTGGAACTAAATTAGCAAGCAAGAAAATAAGCCAGAAAGCATTCCCTGCATAGAGAATACATCATAATAAGTCAGAGTAAATAACCCTGGTGCAATTCATGATACAAGCCAATTAAAAAGAGAAAACCCAATGTATATAATCACAAATAGAATATTCACAATAGCATAGGGGAGAACCTCTAATGGGGTTCATTAAGAAGAAAATGGCAGCACTAGCTACATATATTCAGGCACATCCAACTTACTTGGAATTGATGAAAATAAGATATGTTAAGAACTCAGACGACTTTCGGTTTGCAATGAGGAAAACATCTTGTCCTACATATGCCAGGACAACGGAAGTAAGAACAAGAAGAACCAAGGAAATTGCTTCACACACGACAGTCTCCGGACGACCTACAAACGATGCTCCCTCCCCAACAGCGCTCTTGCGAGCATGCTCGCTGTTGGCATTGCGACGGCGTCGATGTGCAGGCGTCGTGTGTATAGCAGCGCCGAAGAACCAATGCAACAAGTAAAACATCTTAGTCTAGAGAGAGAAGCCGAGGAAGCACTAAGCTGCTGTGGCCTCAATGATGGGTTAGCTGTTGATCATCTAGCGTTTGAATTACAACAAGTTATCTACAATATTTGGTCTCAGACCCGCACGCCGCTGGCACAGCGAGTGGCAAAGATTGAAATCCCAAGAATTTCGGTGTTCTAAACAAGACTGAAATAAAAAGCATGTATCTGCCTGTAGACATTTACAGTTCGTTTCATCAGTAGTAGGGGTGCAACCGGCAGCCCGCTTCGTCCCACGAAACTCATCCATTAGCTCAAAATTTGCTCAGCATTTGCCTAGAACCAACACTACATTGTACTACTATGTTATGGTCCGCTAGCCCGCGACGCTTGCATCCTTAATCCGTAGCGATTGAGCTAGCTAATGAAGGCCGTTTAGCTTGGAGTACCACATACAGTACTACGTAGTCAGTTTTGTGCCCCCTTTTGATCCCTAACCTGTGACGACGCGAAGGCTTTCTGGAGCTGCTGCCGAAGCAGTGCTCTGAACTGGCGGGCTTGAGCCAGGGTCTCATCCAGCTTCGCCTTCTTGGCCATGAGGTCGGCCTTCCTGGCTTCCGCAGCCCCGATCCCGGCGTCGTCCGAGCGCAACCCGCCGCTCTGCAGCTCCTGCAGGGCCGCCTGCAGTTGAGACACAGAGGCCTTGAGCCTCTGCACTTCCTGACGAGCTCCCGCCTCGAACTGCTGCGACATTGCCCAGAACTCCTCCATCTCCTTCCTCTTGGACTCGTAGAAGCGGTCCCACTCCTCCGCCTTCCGCTGCGCCTCCTCGATCTCGCCGTTGGTCGAGCTGATGTCGCGGGCGACGGCGAGGCGGCGCGCGTTGGCGGCGTCGATGCCGGCGCGGGCGGCGAGGGCGCGGGAGGCGAGGTCCGCGGCGCGGCGCTCGAGGAGGAGGCGGCGCCGCTCGAGGCGGCGGGCGGCGGCGGCCTTGGCGGCGAGGAGGCGGGTCTTGGCGGCCAGGATCTCCTTCTCGGCTTGGAGACGGGTCATGCAGTGGTTGCGCGCGTCCTCCATCTGCCGGACGCGCTCCTCGAAAGCGGACGACAGCTCCATCGCGCAGCCGGCGCGGCGGCCGCCGCCGGCGAGCCCGAGTTGGTGCGGGAGGTGAGATTCGCTACAGGGGAAGGGCCAAGCGGTTCAGGAAGAGGTCTCCATCACGAAGTCACTCACGCCGCGCCTTGGCCTCCAATACCAGCCGCTCATTCTACATCCAACGTTCAGGATTCACACGAGCACTTAATATTCAGTGTACAATCTGTAGCATATCACTGAAATTTTGAAAACACTGAAAATATGAACGAAATAACATTGAAATTCGTAAGCATTTGGCATTCATACAACTCAATAGTATTACACCGAATTTTTCAAGCACTTGACATTGACAGTGTAAATTGTAAAGCATATCATTCGAACTCTTCTTCTTCTTTCATGGCATATCATTGGAACTCTTCTTCTTTTTTCATGATATATCATTCGAATTCTGTGGCAACAAGCACTGCCAATGAGCAATCATCCAATTATGTTACGTAATAGGCCATTTCATTCAAACACTTAGTTCGCAAAATACTATAGTTAGCCCCTAAATACCGCAAAAACATATAGTTTTCTTTAAAAAAAACTATAGTTAACGCCCGAAGTGCCATGTAACCAGGCTCCCCCGCCCGCCGGTCACGCGCGCCAGGTCCCGCCCCCGCCCTTGCGCCGCCTCCCCAAGAGGTGGCCGGGACGGGGCGCGTCCCTCCCCTAGGCCCAAAGATGATGAAGTGTTATGTACTCGACATTTGCATGACACCACTAGAGGAATAACAACACAACATATCATCAAAACATTAAATGGTATTCAACTTCACATGATTACTAGCAACAGGACTTCACACATGTCCTCGAGAACTAATGGATCTACTCAGAAGACATCATATGGATCATGATTAGTGGGTATAAATATTTGATAAACAATCTTCACATAAATATTTTTCATCAATAAATATCATATGCATCAATACAAGATGTAATCAACACATGCAAGTACTCCTAGTAAAATGTCAATGGGAGGTCTAATACAATGATTGAACAAAAGGGATGAACTAGGGGAGATGAGATAGTGCTGGTGAAGATGTTGATGAAGATGATGATCCCAATGATGAACGAAGTGTTGGTGATGATGATGACTTTGATTTCCCCCTCCCGAAGAAAAGTTTCCTCGGGAGAATCACTCTGTCGGAGAGCAAAAGTTTTCTGCTTAGTTTCCACCTCAGGGATGATGACATAAAGTCTTGAAGATTTTATGTGATTTTTCGAGGGTAAATGGGATTTTATGACCAAAGTGGAAACACCTTGCGGTCGTGGTGGAGATGCAACCGGTGAAGAGCAGCTCGGCCTCCCCGTATAGGAAGTAGGCTTGTAGTAGCGAGACGAGTGTGGCAGGTGGCCTTGCAGCACGAGGCGGGCGGTGTTGGGGCAGATGGGGCTTGCTGGCGGCTGTGGTTCCTCTAGTACCTGAGGCGGCGAAGAAAGCCCACAAACACCAGCAAGAACTCCTCCGAAAGTCGGCGAGGGGCGGGGGATTTGTGTTGATGCTGCGGGTCTATTGTGCAGCCAGAAAAA